AATGATGTGGTATGGGAGGTCTTATAAGTTATAGAAGGAATAGAAATGATGCTTGGGCTAAGCATGAACTAAAACTGTGACCCACAAACAAGCCACATAAAGCTCTTGATACTGTAAGATTGGAAAGTGCAGTTGTTGAAAAGGAGGGCAGAAGCATCATGCAGTGAAAAAAAAAGCGTGATTTGAAGACTGAACAGTAGTAATAGAATGAAATTTAGGAGCCTGCTGAGCACCATCTGATGCAATTTTAGATTCTCATGAAAAACAAATGTGTTCAAGTAGGGAAGCCATCAGTTGTTATATTACAGAGGGTATGTTATTATTTAAATATGATACAAATAAATGGGACATAAGGATATGTCAATAAGGATTTTTTTTCAGAAATGGGAAAGGATTCATGCTCCTGTGAGCAGGAAAGCTCCTCTGAATTTCTGGCCACCAATAGTCAGGAGAAGTGACTTCATGCTGGAACTTGAACAGAAATGTTTCTGGGATGACCAGGAGAATGGAGAAGTCACAAGCAAGGCAAACATGAGCTGTGGTGCTGCATTGATGCCACAATTTTACACAGTAATCACACTGCTGCTTTCAAGCTCTAGAAGATGCATCATGTCGTGGTGAAAAGTTTTGTGAAAGTGAAAGCCCCATTAAATTAAAGTAGGGGGTATGGGAACCCTAGTAAAGAGTATGGGAACCATACCTTTAGGAAAGGTATGGTTTAGGAAAGGTATGGTTATCTTCAGGAGTAGTAGTTTGGCAATTTCAACCCTGCATTTCCTAAACTACAATGCTCAAGGCATTACTTAAAAATAACTGTTCCTACATGGTAGAGAAATACAGTTCAGTGACTGTATGCAAAGCCAAGAGATCTGCAGTAAATCCAGGAAATGAAACTACGTTTCCTGAGGGTCCCATTTCTTAACAAGTCAAAAATACTGCACTTTGCTAAGAAGTCAGAGGAAGTCTTGATTCCAAAAGCACTGGGATCCCAGACAGGCTGGTCTTTTCAGAGTCTAAAAGGATCCCTTGAATCATCCGTGTGCTATGTTAATATTGTCAGTACTTTTAGAAAAGGAAAAAAGCAACGGATCTTCTTCCCTGGCCATGTTCTTTTCTTCCTGGATGTCTGATTCCTTTGATAATGAAAAACATATTTTTCTACAGTGTTTCTACTGCAATTTTCTGCTCTTTAACTACAGCAGTTTTTAGATGTGCCCATATGATGACTTAGTACAGTGCACGGTAGCTTAACA